TACAACTTCCTGAAGGGAGGTTGTGATGAGGAGGGGTTCAGCCTCTTCTCTCTGGTAACTAATGATAGGACTCGAGAGAATGGCCACAAATTGCACCTGGGGAGATTTAGATTAGATATCAGGAAAAACTTTTTCTCTCAAAGAGTGGTCAGGCACTGGTACGGCCAGCCCAGTGAGGTCCTGTGGAGTCCATTTTGGATGGCGTTAGTGAGAATGGTTCCTGTCAAGCCTTCCATCCATAGAAAAAACATAGAATATTATCATACAAGATACTAGGTGCATACAATAAGAAAGAATCAAGGAAAGATAGCATGATGGTAAGAATGAGTGACTAAAAACTGATGTTTATTCAGTAACTTTCCTATATATTGAGAGAAACCAACTGCTGTAACCTTTATTTGTTATTGTACTAAGACAAGATATAGATAACTGGTTTTCAGGCTACAAGCTGTAATCAGTCTAGCTCCGTGTAAGCTCTATTTTCTCACCAGCAAAATAAGAGTAGGGAAGTAGAGAATAAACTGAAATAGCTGACTTGTGAATCAAAATTACAGGCACACACGTTATCTCCAACAGAGGTACAGCGATAACCTTGAAGATGGTATCTTATCTGCAAGCTGAGCGAGGCAATTTTTGTTGTTAATGTATACACCTCTTCTACACCTCGTTGACAGACGTGACTGAAATTTCTGTTGCATATTTGACTGGTCAGTTCTCTGTAGTTCTTCATCCAGTCTTCTGAGGTTTGACTTTCTGTTTTGCAAGTTCTGTTGGAGAGGGTATACAGGTATTTCCGTGTTTATGAATTTTCAAGACTTCTGCATTCGGTGTAAAGCTCAAATACGCAATAATATGTTATCTGTGCTGATTCTATAGTCTGTTAAATATAAATTGTCTGCAAATCTGTTCATTAATTTGCATAAATTGCTTTACAATATGCTATACAAAGTCATAGATTTGAACTTTTCCAACAGAAATAATATTTCCTAACAGAGGCAATCTCGGTCATATTAATTTGATCAAATGTATTATGACTTCCTCAGTCTCGTATTTGCATTTTAGTTCAAAAGATAGAACTATATTACTTCCCCCAAACTGCTGAAGGGTGTATAAAATGTCTCAGATCATTACTTACTCAGATCATTACTATTAAGAGGTCAAACTTGGCCATGTTTAATACCTAAAGAGAAAGATAAGGAGTTTCTGAGCATTTCAAGAAAAAGAGTCCTAAGTCTTTTAATTAGATTGGTCTGCAGTAGGTATATCCTCCAGAAGCTGCCTGGGAGGGCTTCCACATAATGTAATTTATATGAAAGAAAAGAAAGGCAGTGAACCAGCAGAGAACTCTGTGAAACCAATTGGCAGCGAGCCATCTGTTAAGCAACCACAGCTACGTCAGAGACATCTAAAAATATATCCACTGGATTGGGAACATAATGCCCTAACTCCAGTAAAAAGGCACTTTGAATACTATCAAAAATATGTTTTACAATAAATTGCGTTTATTCATGTACCAATGAAATATAAAAGAAACTGTCTCGTAGACATTGTTATTAAATCCTGAATAGTAGTATTTCAAAATATTTTTTTAATTGTTAGCCTCTGTTTCTCTCTGGATTAGAAGCTACCATTTTATTGCTTCAATTTCCATTTTCTCTCTCCCTGGTCCCCAGATAGCCTGGCACTTGTATCATATCCTGTCTTCCTTTTTACTTTTCCTGAGGTTTCCCCTCATTTATTGTCTGTCCAAGCCACCTTGTGCAGTCTTATTTCCAGCCCACTCATCGCATTCACCTGCCCTCACTGTACTCTGTGAACTGCCAGTTCTGTGGCTCCATGCAGCATTTCTCTGCTACAGGTTTCTGAGTTTCATCTCAAACAGGGAAAAGCCGTAAGGTTGATGCCAGTGGTCATGAAATTTTGGCATGTCTTAAAACTGAAAAATATCAGATATAATGACTTGAAATGAAGTCATATCTATTGGTAAGTCTGTCGCACTCTGAAAATATCTGACTACTTCTATATTAGAATTCTTCAGTTTTGTCTGTCACTGTAATGTGCGTACTAGTTTTTCTGGTAATACGCTCAGTACATTTCTCCCTCTTGCACAGTCGACCAAAACCCCAGTATCCTCTAATCCTAAGTGAGTAAAGAAAACTGAGCTGTGCTATTAGGGGTTGGCTTCAATAAGCTAGGTACTTAGTTGATGATTTTTTTCATAACTGTCATTGAAGGCATCTAAAATTGCTCATAAAGCAAAGTTTGACAATCTTAACTCAGTCTTGCTCAAGTATTGGTAAAGTGTGAAGGATGTGTGTGAAGAATGCTGTGTGCGGATGCCAGTGCTGGGCATTTAGCTCCCAGGCAGGACACAGAAGAACACAGCCTTTTGGCATCTCTCTTCCACCCTTCCATCAGTCCTGGAAGAAGCATTAGAAAGCCTGCCCAGCAGCACTTCGCTGCACTGTTAGGTGGAACCGCTGTTTCTTACGGAGAGGCACAAAGTATCTGCACATCGCTGCAGCACCCTTAATTTCCTTCATGCCCGTAAGTATAGCCAGAGTGGGCTTCCCAGTGTGATGGTGATTCCAGCTCCTGTACATCAGACATTTTAAGTCGTGTTATTTAAGGACATCCAAAAAGTGGGCTCTCCAGTGCTTGATTTCAAGGGCAGATGTTGCTGTAAAAGATGTTTACTTAGATGCAGCCATTTTGGCTGCAGGAATGAATACAAGCATGTATATTTTGAAACAAGTATTTTTAGAAACTTATGTTGAGGGCTGCTGCTTGGACTTTCTGCCCTTTCAGATTTTGCTGTTGCTCAGTTTATACATTTTTAATAATCACATTGCCTGCTAGCAGTGACATTTTGTGAAGGTCATTTTTCTTGTGAAGTTAGAGAATGGACTAGAATTTCATTGAAGGACTCCCGGAGCTGCAGGATCATTGTTTGTGCAATTCTTTTGCATCTTCTACTACCTTTGAAGCCTGTTTAGAATTTTAACTAATGATATCTTCAAAGTGTCACTGTGCTCAAGGGCAAAAAAGAAATCTCAAAATGCACTTTATATTTAAAACGAGTTTTGAATAGCTTTGAAGCATGGCATTAGCTGAAAATAAAAGGCATTGATATATACTTACTGTGTATGCAAACACAGAGACTTCCATGTTTCATCAACTTTTTCATTGTCAGCAAAGTGTCCCTACACCACTGCAGTGCATTTCTCTTCAGAATTTTTAATGTGCAATTGATAATTTGATACCTCAGCAGGTGTCTTTTGGCATTCTCTCTCAATGCAGAGGTTTAACTTTTGTCTATATAATTTCTCGTCTGCTTATTCTCTTTTCCCTTTTGTAGAAATACTGACACCAGGTTGTATATATATGCCTTTTCTGGTTCTGAGTACAGGGTGGCAGATACTAAAACCAACATGATATGCTGGAAATAAGAGACTGTGGTGTTAGCTACTGAATTAAAATTGTTTGGTTTTATATAAACCAAAGTTCTTGCTTCCCACAACTGAAGACATACCAGGTTTGCTTAGTGATAAAAGACTTGATGGTTTACTTGAGGTAGTTGTGTCTGATGTCTTCTGACGCTGACATATTCCTCTAAAACATATTAAATGTTAGTGGCAATGTTTGAGAATACAGCTGGTGGAATACCTGTACTGGTTTGGTTTGGTTTGGTTTCTGTTTTGTTTACTGCTTTCTGTGAAGTGTTCTCTCTGTATAGCTAGTCTTGGACTCCTGGATCCTTCAAGTAGGGATATCACTGCGTTATCTCTGTCATTTTCCTTCTCTGTGACATGGTTTTTCTATTTGTAAACTTGGAGTTTATAAAAGTACAAAGATCTGATTTGTAATTTAATCTTTCCCACAAAATTATTTGTCTGGTTTTCTATTATATTCCTTTACTGTATCAAACTGCCAAGAAAATTTAGCTTATTCAGCGTGTCTTTACATTTAAGATTTGATTTTCTATTTCGATTTTGATAGCTGTGCTATCAAAAGATAGTAGTTTGGCTGGATGTTTTACAACAGATTTCACAGTTTTGTGAGCATTGCTAACATTTCAGTTGTGCCAAATAATGTAGAATCTTGATTCAGAACATGAACCAAGGTGGTGCACTGAAAAGCAACCCCTGCGAGAGAATTGGAGAGCGGTTAGGATTGTAACCTTCCTTGAAGGTGTTAGGTCCTAACTAAAGTTGGAGATTGGGAGACTAGAGCTGATTGGGCATTTATGAAAATCTCTGTTAGGAAGGAAGGACAGAAGTTTTTGAAAATCCCTGGAAAATCATTTCCCAACTGATAACCTTGTCTGGGTAAAGGACTAAAAAGACAAGCATTTTCAGACTATGCTTCCAGGCTTCTAGATGCCCACTGCATAGGGACCGCTTGGCTAGAAGCCACCAGCCTGTTTGGAATCGCTGTTTTGCCAACATGATCAAAAGGGAAGGCCTCAGCCTCTGGCTGTTATCATTACCATTTTACTATTTTCCTGCCTGCCTGCTACATGGGCTTCCCTTGGCATTTTTTTTTTCTGTCTTCTGCACAGACCAATTCACCCTTCTTGTGCCTGCGAAAATCTCAACTGGAAAATGTGAATGAGATTGAGGAGGAAGAGCAGACCATTACGTGCAGTCTTCTTTTTGCTTATTCCCAAACATTCCTTCCTTTCTGTTAGAGGGAGTCGTTATTTATGTGGTGTCGGTTTGTTTTTCCTACATATATAGGATCCTGACTTCTAAAATTTTCTGTAGGAGTCTTTACAATAAATACAGCTAACAGTGCTTCTTCCTACCTCCTTGCCTTTCCTTATTTTCCACAATCAAGGGAAAATTCTTCAACATATTCCAGTGCTGAGAGTTTAGCAAGGACGTATTTTGGTTCTGAAACAAACAAAAAAGATTTTCTTACTCGAATTTCAGCTTGTTTCATACTTTTCTAGTCCTTGTTGCTTTTCACTCACTTTGCTATTTAATCTTTGATTACAGGCCACTAAAGAAGTAATAGAGCGAGAAGCCCCAGGGATGGCCCTGGCAATGCTGATGGGATCACTTAATGTAACTCCTCTGGGCATGCTCTCTAGGTAAGAATATTTCCTTCAGAATATGAAGTGAGCTATTTCCTTAGAAATATGCAAGGTAGGGGAATGACTATAATGAAATAACTGAAGATTGCCAGTGTTATCAAGACTATAAGTCTTAACTTCAGAGAAGTGACCAAATTCCAAGAACAGTAATTGCATTCTCTCATTTTGTTCCCTTTGTAGTCTCCATTAGGCACTGTATTTCCTGTATTTTCTTTGCCAGGCTATTGGTAATATCGATGCATTCTGTTAAGAAGCTGTCTTTTCACCCTAGAGCTGTGACATTTCAGTGGTGACTGAAGAACTCTTCTGTATGTTGTTCACCAACTGCTAAAATGCTTGTTTAGCAAAAAAAAAGGGAAATAAAAAGATTGATAAATAGATACGTATTGTTGTGTTATTGCTTTTATTCCAGTACTAGCAAAAGCCCTCTGAATAAGTGAAAAGGTGTTTTTTCACATGCTTTCAGATCTAGTACATTAACTCCTAAATTTTGATATTTCCTGTTAAATAGTTATCAACTGATACTTTCCCTGTTGGTGTTTCTTGCTTATCAGTGACACCTCTTGTCATCCTGTATTTCCTTCTGGAGTTAATTTTTAATTTTATTCCTTCAAGATCTTCAGAAATGTGCATCGCTTATCTATGATAGATTTAGTAATATCAATGCAATTCATAAGTCAGTCTGTGATCATGTCATTTCAAGGTAACTAAAAGGCAATGGCTGTTACAGTTTTTGTTTTCTCATTGCATAATGAGGGTATAACAATAATTATGTTATAAAATTATAAATAAAGCAGGAACTTCAAATTTGTTTGAGATTTTGTATTCAGATACTTGGATTTTTAAAGGACATTTACATTTGAGTTTTAATAGTTCAACAAAATATTTCAAAACTTCTGTATCTGAATAACCAACTTTGGTTTAGGATATGGTGTGTTCAGAATGGCTGAAATGTTTTCCAGAATGCTGGACAGCAACCTGATTTTTCTATAGATAGAGCAAGAAAATATTCCTTAACCTGTACAGCCACTTTCAGTAGTCATTGACAACCACTACAGGGCATAACATCTCTGTGTATTTATAGTGAAAATGTTTTACAAATGGACTTCATGCAGTCATACTAGGTCTTAAAAATTTCCCAGTGAAAACCTTTACTTCAGGCATATATGTAATCAGCATGCAAAGGGTTAGTATTTGTATAATATTCAGAGCATAAAGTACATAAAAAATTAAAAAAAAATACAGCATGATGGTTTCTTGTGCAATCTTTATTCTGCAGGAATGAACGTGTCCTGGGATTAAGTTCTTTATAGAATTCCTCTGCACTTGTTCAAGATGGAAGGGGGGACATTCAGTTTTTGTTGTGGTTGTCCTCTGTGTAGTCCTGTATCGTTTCGGGTACTCTTTATTCAGGATCTTCTCTGAATGCAGACTCACTTCCTCTGGGATTTTTATTATATCATTTTTTACTCTAAGACATAAATTAGTTGCAAATTGTTATATTTTCTTAGGAAATTCTGCAAATTGAGGTAGTTTTGTTATCCCCCTTTTACAATATGAACTAAGCTACATATTAAGAGTGGTCAAAAACATACACTAATTTAGGACACACAGTTTGAGAAATGTAAATCTTAATTTTTCAGAGTGTTTAGCTTTAAGCGTCTCTTGTCTCCAGCTTAGCTCTCATTGACTTAACTTTAAAATTAAGTTCCTATGGATACTCCTGCATGTAATTTACTCCAAAAAAAAAAGAAAAAAAAAAAAAAAAAAAAGAAGAAGGCAGAACTTTACTATGCAACATTAAGCTGACACTTCTGTAAATCACCTGCAGTTTGGGAAATGTTAGATCAATCATACTGAATTTTTTCACTTGAACTTGCAGCAATTTTTATAAGGTATAGTCTGTTTTTCCTGACTGTGGACCAGCTTTAGAAGGTGGTAGAAAGTGCTGGGTTATTGTGCAGATTTGATTCACAGATACTTACTGACAAATGAAGAGTCTCTGAGATTTATAACTGGAATTCTGACCCGAGTTCCTTCAGGGAGTATCTTGGAGGGTCATAGGTCTTTCAGTGTTTCCTCTTTCTCTGTGACCTGCCAACTGTTCTTGTCCTAGAGTTAATCTCTTCACATGATTTCTTATGCAAGTCAACTCTCTGTGCCGTTGCAGTCTTTAAAAAGCCTCAGTACCCCTTTCCCATCAAAACTTCTTTCCAGTGAGATGTGTTGTTTTTGTTTTTATTTATTATTTTTTTTTCCCCAAAGAGATCATGTTCCTCCCTTCTATCTCTGCATTCGATCTGTATTTTCTTCCCACATTCATTTTTTCTGTCTTTCTCCCTCATCTTGTTTTTCCTACAGGTCCTTTGCTTCTATACATACTCTTTTTTTGTCAGACTTCTCAGAATTTTCATATGATTTCTGTCCAATGCACCATCGGGCTGAGGATAACGGGATCCACAGCATCTCTCTCAGTTGTTCCCCATTTTGAGGAAGATCATTAATTTATCTCTCACATTACCAAGAACGTACACACCCTTGGTGTGTTTCTGTGTTGTTGCCCACACACTATTTTTTGCAAGCCATGCAGTTCTTAAGTATTTTTACTTACTTTTGCATGCTGTTGTGAGAAACCATTGGCAACCCCATTTCTGTCTTAAGCCATTAGACATCACTATAATTCCTCAGTGGATATTTCCTGTTTCCTTTATTTTGAGTCTGTCATAAAGTGTAGTTTGTCTACTGCAACAAATGTAAATGAGCACTTTTTTTTAACTCCAGTTCCTCATCTTTGTTTTGCGGTAGAGTTACAGTCAGTGACCTGGAATTCTTTCTTAACTTAGGGTGTATAATGTGTAAGAAGCGTGTACAGGGGAACAGAGGCTTGGAGTCAGGCAATATTCAAGCTGACAGTTGAAAATAAGACTTCTCTTCAGGTTGGTTTGACTGTGATACCAGAGGTTCATTTTGTGGCAGAAAAATCGTCTCTGTGCTCTTTAATTGTAAGCGTTACGACAGCTGTCTCTAGAATCCTTGCTATCCTGCTAGAAAATGCCATGCTACCAATAAATGATAATAATCACTAGGAATTATTTGTATAAGAAGAAATCCAGGGAAATTGGCTGCTCTGAGATTTTGGTAATGCTCTATTTTTTTTTTCTCTTCTGTCTTCAATTATGGCTCATGGTTTTAGATGAAGAGACTGTGTAACTGTGTAACAACACAGTTTCTCTCAACATAGCTTCTGTATCTTTGTTGTTTGGTTTTGTCCTTTCATTTTTTCTTAGCTTTATATCCTAGCCATGTTTTTTTCACCACTAGTTTGGTAAACAGTGGAGAAAAGCAAGATGTGCTCTGCTCTTCCTCCAGACAAAATCTGGGTCATTTATGTATTGTTTTGGTTTTTGGAAAAAAAAAAAGTAGCTAAAAGAAAGAACAGGCAAACACTAAATGATAGAAAGGATAAGAAAAACCCCATTCAGCCCTTGATTGTTTAAGTTCAGCCCTGCATCAAGACCAAAGAAAATCCCTAAAGACACAAAGTAAAACAAAATCTTCATTTTTGATAGCTTTTTTATTTTTTTTATTTTTTTTCTGAAGTTAGGACAGAGTCTTGGGAAGAATTAGATTTGAATTGCATAAGTGCAATTTTCAGTTGAGAATTACTTCATTCCGTGCTTTTCTTATGTGGTATCTTAAAAAGAAAAAAAAAAAAAAAAAAAAGAAAAAAAAAAAGAAAACAAAAAAGGCATTTGAATTAATGCAGCCAGCATATTAGCATGACTTAGTGTTTTTTACCTATCAAGTGAAATAGTGTCTGATACCATAATTATGTTACAAAGGAACCCCAAGTTTGAGTAAATAGTGACTATATCAAAGAATGTATTCGGTGCAAGTAAACAATAAAATTAAGGGAGATACACAGAACAAAAAAAAAAAAAAAAGAAAAAGGATGGAAATCTCTATGGTGTTTACACTATCATTTAAATGTTAGAATTTGTAAGTCTTGTCTGCTTCTTCAGCTTCTCCTGAGCTGTTTCATGAGAACATAATCAGCAAATATTTTTAGATGTTAAAAATTGATTTGACAAATTCTGGTAAATAATAAAATTTATGTTAAATATTTTCTTCTTCTTTCTACAGTGGAGAAATTTCCATGCAAAAAAATTCACTCTGGGTTTCTTTCTTTTCAGACCTGTGTGTGGAATCAGAGGGAAAACTCTCATAATTAATCTGCCAGGTAGCAAGAAAGGGTCACAGGTAAGAACTGTTCTTACTGCTCTGCTACTGAGGACTGATGATAAGTACCTCTCATTGTTCTGAATGGTAGAAAGTACCTACTTTAGTTTTACAGAAGTTAACTGAAATGCATATTCACTGACACACCATCTCTCTTGGTCAGGGACAACACAGTACTGATCTAATTGAAAGTACTGTGCGACCAGGACAGAATTACTTTTAGTACAAGAGAGTACTTCACTGTAGCAGGCAGTTGTAATGAATAGTTTAATGTTCTTTTACACTTCCTCCTTCTTTTCTAGTCAGCCTATTCCTGATCCCTGTGTTTTCTACAGCTTCCAAGAGAGCATTCTTTTTTGCACAGAAGTAAGAAAAAGGCCTAGTGTATGGTAGAACTTGCTGGAGTAAAAAGAACATTCCCAATTTTGGTCAGCAAGAAGGGAAGAAAAGGAACATCATTTTTAAGTGTATGAGGATTATTTAATGTTTTGGATATGTGTGTCAGACTTTACACCCTTCACAGTTGGTTTCTTCCTATGTTTTGTTCAGTTTGGACAGAGAAGTTAGGCTTTATTTTTTTGTTCATGCTTACTTTTTGACTGCTTGGTATTAATCGTATACATATGTGTTATAATCTGAGATTCCTCCTTTGCTTTGCAGACCTATGACTATTTATTGGTGCTATTCTTTTATATTGCTATTGAAAAAGCATTACTATAACAAATCAGAAAAAGTTAGAAAAACGTGCAGGTGACAAATCAGAGCAGACAATATCAACTTCATCTTATGTTTCTTTGTCTGTGTCTGAAGGATTGCCTACTCAAACTTGTGCCTGGTATACGTATGTACTATCGTTTGAAATGGGAAAGATTTTATCTTTTCCAGTGCATGCAAAGGACCTGTCACCCCTGTTTTCCTGTATTCTTAGTGTATGGAATTTTATGAAGTACATACCTTAAAAGACTTCAAGGTAAAGCTAATCATTTGATAAAATTCCCTATGAACACTGGTTTCTCAGTTGTACAGCTTCTTTGCTTATGCCCTCGGATTGTCTAATCCCAGTTTAAATGTAGTTAACAGACAGCTCATGCCAGGTGTGCCACCCTCACATGGCGTTCTGTGGCAGTGGCTCTGCAATTTAACCATCAGCATCACACCACTGTCTTACATGTATGTAGTTGCACAAAGGATCCGTGATCTGTATGCATGAATCATAGAATATCCCAAGTTGGAAGGGACCCATAAGGATCATCAAGTCCAACAGTACCATCTCCTTCTCATTTAAGTGCTTTCTTCTCTTCTTCAGGGAAGAGGCTATCTCTCTTATATCCATTAAACCTATAAGTCTTTCAGATGCTTGGTTGCCAACACTAGCCAGCATCTGTGTCATTCTGCCCTCCAAGCCACTTTTCTAGGATTACTGTCATCCAGCTTTGCTATGTTAGGAAATAAGAATATTTCTTGTCACTCGGAATTGTAAAACATTTCCCTGTGCCCGAGAGGATTAAGGTACTACAGTAAGTTTGTTTTAGTGTGAAGGAGAAAAGAATGGCAAGAGTAGAAAAAAGGGTGGAAGTTTATTTTGCTTTTGAAAGGAATAAAGAATTTATATCAGTAAGTTCAAGTACAGAATGAAAATTCTAGCCACTGCCATCTCAGCTATTCAATACAACTCATTCATATCTCTTGATTTTCCTGCTGCCCATTTATTCATTGCCAAACAGTTGTCTAACTGGAAATATTTATGCTTCATATTGAGCAAAGGCTTGTGTCAGTGCAAAAATCTGCTGTTTGTTGGAGATCTTCATCAAGGTGCTGGCAGTCATTGTGCTAGTCATCCTGAAGGAGAGTAACTAGAGTTAAGGGTGAATGTCCAGATACTGTATTAGGTACTTTGTGATATAGGAAATCAGGGAATGTAGGGGGACAATAAACATACTGTCAAGATACAGCCATGGTGCCCAGCTGGAGATCAGAGGTGGGGGGTAATGTATAGACCATATCTGACACAGCAGAGCATTTGAAGTGCTTTCAGTTTATCATGCATCTGTTCCTGCATAACCCATTGCAAAAAATACAGTTAAACAACAGTTCCCCATCTGTAACCATTCTCCAACTTTCCAAAAGCTTTTCAAGGCTGTTATCGGAAAGTCAGAATTGTATCAGTCTTGGTAGCAGCAATCTTTCTTCTCTAAGAGAGAATTCAGTTAAAATAAAACCTGATTCAATGCCTAAATTTCACTCAGCCCCACAACAATGAAGGCTGGCCTAATACTTTCATGATATGTGTCAGCATGTATGTTTATGATGCTTATTGCCAAACCATCTTCTCAAGTTTAGCAGCTCAGCTTCAGACTTGCTTTTCCTGAAGGAAATAATTCTCACTGTTGTGGTGATGATCATCTTAGTGGTCAAATAATCTTCAAATAAAATAAATATAAATAATATCAAATAAAAATCAAATAATCTCTTATTATGTTATTAAGGCTTAATTTTTCCAGTGGTCTTTCTGTTTGCATAGTTGGCTGATAGATCCAGAAAGACAGCCTTCTCCATATACACCCTACTAAGCTGGATAGTGAGCTATACAGCCCGATACAGATGTGCTAAGGTAGATTCCCCTGTCAGTCACGAGAATCAATCATGAGAATCATTCTCCAGGGCTCAGTATACATCAGTGACCTTGTTGAAAAATGTCTTCACCTCTGGCATCTAACAAATGCATACCAGGTAGTTTATCAGTGTCTTCTGAACCATTCACTGCCCAGTCACAGAGGGAACACGGTACTGATGTGCTGTTTGGCAGCACAGCCCTGAAGTTGCTGTTGCTTGAGAGACTTTTGTCTAGAGAAATATAAAGGATGTTTATAGGGTCTCTCACCTGAAAGTTGAAGAGGAAATACTGTTATCTCAAGCAGACATTACAGGTTTTCAGATACATTGTCTACAAGTTTCCGTTTAGGAACTCAGTAATCCTTCTTTGATTCTATGGTTCCTTAGAGTCTTCTTAGGAAATCTAATGAGATTCTATAATTGAAAAAACAAATTAACAAACAAACAAACAAAAACCTTAAACTGCCTTCAAAACATGTACCAAGCATGGAGGATTGTAGGGTAGGAGTATAGCTACTTGAAAGTCTTCCAGTGATTAGTCAGAAGACATATCTATGAACATAGTTATGAATCCCACATCTTAGAGAACTGTTGCACTGGTAAGTATATGCTTTTTTTTAGAAGTCTGTCCATCTTTTATTGAATTGTGAAAGAGGTAAAATAGCCTGCAATCTCTGATTCCTGTAGTGCTCAGTAGACTCCTAACATGCTAGGTAGAGAACAAAATGTCATTTTGTGTCCTGAGGCACTCAGACTGTAAAGATAGGTAAATTGTAAAACGAGAAGGAGGAAAAGGAATGAAATACATTAATAAGTATTTTAGTAGTAGTTCAATACATAAGTAGTTAATAAAAGAGGTAATTCTGCTGGAGGAAAAAAATGCTGTATGATTTTGTTATGTAAGCAAGATTTTTATAAACTGATGATTTATTTGTTCCTGTCATGATGATAATCTCTTCTGTCACAATTTATTTTAATATAAAACATCTTAAAAATAGGAGGTTTCAGAAAGGATTTTTAAGATGTATAGTATAGAAAATGGTTCTATAACAGACTGGATCGCAGGAACCAAATAGGACAGGTTGTTACCAGGTATTTGTCTCGTTTCTCTTTTCTTGCTTGCAAATTTCCTTTCCGTCATATTAATATAATTATGTAAGAAGCTTATATAAAGCTGTGAAGTTGCATCACTATACGTATTTCATTAATACAGTACTAAATATTAATAGAAAAAGACAGCAGTGTAAATATCCATCTCAAAAATGGACACAATGCAGTATTAGTTTCCATTAAAATGGAAAGAGTTGAAGACCAGAGCAATCTGATCTGAATGTGTAAAACTCATTCCCTCTTGCTGTATAAATTTCTCTCTTTTTATGAGTGACTAGTGCAGATTTCACTTAATAAAAGGATAGGCGGGTCTCCTTAGGTCAAAACCAATATTGTAATTGAAGTAGAAGGAAGAAGGCCACTGCAGTAACCTCAGTTGAAGCTTAGGTTTGATCAGAACATCTGCATAAAAACTTAGAAGGAGTCTAAGCCTTACAAAGGAAAGAAATCATAAGGGACTGTCCAACTCAAACTATATGTTACTGGAAATGACAAAGGTGGAACAAAATCAGGGAGTCAAATTTTAAATTGTCGATGCAGGTTTTAATCTTGTAAATAAGTCATTTCTGACTACTGAACTCTCCTCTGTCTCATAAAAAAGAAAACACTCAAGAAGTCTGCACTGGTCATACTAACATTACCATTCCTACCTATACTTCTAGTAGCTAATTAAACGAAACATTTTGGTAGGCTCTTGATTTTACATAAGGCTAGCATAGCACAACAGCGAGGAAAAAGCCTTGTCATCCAAAGCAGCCAAATTTGTCAGTGTTCTAAATTCATCATTTGTAGCTGTAGCCCTAAGTCTTTGCAGTCACCAGAGATGCTAGGAATTTCTGCTTGACTTCAGAGCAGCTCTGGGCTCAGTTGCCTGCTAGAATCGGGAACATTCTTTGCAATGCTGCTCTGGAAGATGCAGGCGATGCCAATTGTGTGTTCTCCAGGGAACTTGTGCAGCATGTCCCACCGAACCCACATTTGTAGAATACTTCAATTTTTGTGTTGTTCTAGTCTGTTTCGTTTCATTCTAGCCTTAAAAAAAGCTATTTAATGCTGTGAAAAGGGGCAAAGTATGAAATTACCAGATGCTCATTGAAATCATTGGGTCTACGGCAATTTACATAATTGTACTAACAATTGCTTAAAACAATGAGTGTTAGAAATAGCATGAGCTTTTAGAATATTTCTTGGGAACCAATTAATCAAGAGTTAAGCCAACAAGGCTTTATTTCAGTGGTAGGAGTGGGGAACGTACTTGCTAATGAGTAAATAATTAATGTACATTTTCATTATTTTTAGTCAGTTCACAGATTGTTGTGCTCGTTTACCATTTGCTTGAGGTCTGCTTTTTCAGTGAAGTAATGATGGTTGTATACCTCAATGTTTTAAACCATTTTAAAAAATAATACTCTAGAGGCTCAATAGCTCTGAGCTTTGCAATTACATTAGAAGTTATATTTCTTTATTACATTTACAAATAAATTTTTAATATGTATTCATTATATACAGCATATTATGCTCATCCAGCTTACTCTAGTTCTTCAGAGTAAGAAGTTGAATGTTTATAGAATTCATAAATCTGTGAAGTAGTCTGACTTTTCATTATTCTTAAAGGTGTGATTAAAAGATGGGTTCTTATGTAGAAGCTTTGAGGAAATAGAGTGTTTGTGAGTCATGTTTTTGACTTACAAAGTGGCTTATATAAATTCTAATAATCTGACGGATGGTTCGTTTGCATAATCATTTTTATTTATTGAAAATACTTGTTAGAATATCTGCTTACAAAATGTTTAGCATTGTTTATTTTCTGGACACTCTAAAATCTTGGATTACAATTTGACAAGTCTTCTGTATAGTTGAGACAAAAACAAAAATGAAATGCAACAGAAAGAATAACGTCAGCTTTCTCTGTCAACTTGTATGTTCCCTAACTGCACTGCCATGGCAATTAATTGCTGGGACCTTGCTATCATTTTCCCGTAATTTAATGTATATATGCAGTCTGCAGAAATTGCATGAAGAAAACTCTTTGCTTGAGGTGCCTGGGAGGAGGATGAGAGGCAAAAGTCATAAAGTGAAGAAGGGGAGATTCCAAATGGATAAAAAGATAAAGAAAGAAAAATCACCTGAGGATAATTAAGCATTAGAACAGGTTGTCCAGAAAGGTTGTGGAGTCTCTGTTCTTCAATTTTTTTAACAGTTGACTGAGTGCATCCTGGAGCAACCCATCTGAATTCAGTATTTTCATGGTGTCTTAAGGCTCCTTGCAACATGAATGATTCTTGATTCAATGAAATACTAGCATACTTGAGCATCAGAGGTAGCTAGAAATGTGTACTCCCATTATGGAACAAGAAAAACACTGTGCTTTTGCACTCTCCAGGCATATAAAATAAAACGAAGTTTATAATTGTTTTTAAGATGATAGAGTAAGGAGAGTGTTAGATCATGTGTGATCATTTTTTTTGAGTTATATAAAATTATGATGACATCAGTATAGTTTTTCATTGTCATAGTCTACAGGATAAGTCCACAAATAAAAAATATATAACATTATATAAACATATAATTATGGAAACCATTATGAAATAGTCTCTAATTGTGAAAGATTATAATAGAAATGATTTGAGGCTAATAACCCTGCAGGGATAAAGTTAATGTTTTTTTAATTCTGCATTTTTGTAGCATTCTGCAAACTGCTATGAACTCATTTCTGTATTATGTACTCATGAACATTTTAACTCATTTTCCTTAGTTTTAATCCAACATTAGCTTAATTACAGTAGCTCTAACTGTTGTACAACTTACTATATTTGCACAAAAAAATGATGAAATATATTTCATAGTTCCCAGTTCTGGCTCTATTTTCTGGGGGGGGTTGGTTTGTGTTTTTGTTTTGTTTTGTTTTTCTGGTTTTGTTTTTTGTTGTTGGCTTTGTTTTCCTCTCAGAACAATTGCAATTGCCCATTTAGGGTTTTATTTATGATCAGGTGAAAAGATGCATCTAAATCCCAAATATCCCTTGGGTGCAAATCTGGAAAATCCCTATTTACTTCTGCAGTAACTTTTCATAGTCATTTCTCTTCTTGTTGTGCATAGGAATGCTTTCAATTTATACTGCCAGCCCTACCTCACGCCATTGATCTTTTGCGGGATGCCATTGTAAAAGTAAAGGAGGTACACGATGAACTAGAAGATCTACCTTCACCACCACCTCCTCTTTCTCCTCCTCCAACCACCAGCCCTCACAAGCAGACAGAAGACAAAGGAGTACAGTGTGAGGAAGAGGAGGAAGAGAAGAAGGATAGTGGAGTTGCATCAACAGAGGACAGTTCCTCTTCACATATAACTGCAGCAGCCATTGCAGCTAAGGTGAGTCTGGCTTGTTTCCAGAGAAGACCCTTTAGTTTCAATCTCAGGTACTTTCCACCAACATTCATTGCATGCTAAGAATATACACTGATGCCATTATGCTTAAACATTTTGTAGAAATATAGCCCCCTAAAAACATATGAATCCTATTTCAGAAGGTGATCACAAGTTTCAGTGGAAGTTGCGTTGTTCATTAGCTTGATGATAACATGCATTTTAATGATACCATTGTGGTGTGACAGATTATTTTTAGCTTTCTTTTTTTTTTTTTTTTTGATTCAAACTATTCACACATGAATGTGCAAAGTTTAGCAAGTGGCAAGGAATTAAAGAATTACATCAAGATTTTCTAAACTATATTTTCCGTTTTGAAATTAGAGTGTTGTTTTTTGAAAGCATTGATAAAAAGTACAACTAAGTAGCAGGTTAAATAATAAGCTATCCAGTCCACTGCATTCCAATGTGCGTGTCTATGTAACAGATGTAAAATTCTGCCACAAATTAAATACCATGACATCTTCTTTACAGCCTCTCTGTAACTAGTAATTGTAGATCAACTTTACTCAAACCAAAATAATAAATTTGAGACTACAAAAGAAAAAAAATAGATCACACTTGCAAATTATTCTGGTTAAAATTGTATCTGTTTTCCAAAGAAATAACAGGTAATTTGTAGCAATATATAGATACTTACATTTTTTATACCTTCAGTTTTCAGCTAGAAAGACAATGTATTCCTATGTTTTTGGAAAGTTTTTCTTCCAAATTAATTTGTTCTATATTTACTCCACAAGCTGTACTTTTATTTCCTCTTATGGGAATTGAAATTCTAAGTAACTCAAAATGCTAATAAACAACTTCTAAACCAAAGCAACAACATTCCAACTCCAGAAATGTGAATTCAGGTCTGATACATCTTGACATTTCTAAGACAGCTGCAGCTGGAGATCATCTCCTCATTTATAGAAAATCCTGATTACATATGTCTTTACAGGGATGAATTAAGGTAATTATCACTTGCAAGTTTCAGTTTTTATTAATGCAAATTTTAAATTTGTTAATTTATTTTATTATAGGCAAAGACAAGTAATCTGTGCAATTTTTAAAGGCAGAAAATACCTGAGATCTAAACTGTCTGTGTTCATGTGAGCTTGGCATTTCGGCATCACACCTGTTTTCACTTCATTCCCTTTCAGTCATTTGCTTGTATAGCCTCATGTTTTCCTGTCACTGTATTCATAGCTGTTATGTGTTGTGCATTAGAAGCATCCATCCTACACCAGTTCAGCAGTTATCATGGCAAAAGGTGAACAGCCCATTCCTGGTCTCATCAGTTATTGCCATCACGCAGCAGGCAGTGCAGGAGAACCGGTAAGATGCACTTCCAAGAGGCTTTTGCACTAACAGTAGCTAAAAATACACAGCCTGCCTCCTATTCTTCTGTGTGAATAGACAGTGTTATTTATTTTATTCTAACACGTACGCATCAGTGCTGTCTTTTAGAGAACATGCTACAGAGAATATTCTTAAGATGCAGAGCTAAACAGGATAAATATATGCATTGTGACAGTTTGAATAATTTTGCTGCTGAGATAATCATTGCTATAAAGCCTTTGTTTATGTTTAGTCATCAACTTTATCATCTAATATACTCAATTATCGAATGTAATTAAAATAGTCTCCTAAAACTGCTGCTTTAGAGCTATGAAATTCTGGTAACTTTTTCCCTTTGGCTTGCTTTGCTTTGCTTTTTTTATTTCAATAGCTTGTTTGTCAATATAATACAACATTGGTACTGGGTGTTCATGTCTTGATGAACATGACTTACAGTTTCTCCTTTATTCTTGTATTCCATTTAGAAGTAGAATTTCTCAAAAACAGAATAAAAGACTTGAGTCAGTATACAGTGAGCTCTTGTTATAGATAACTGAATTTTAGTGAATAATAAGCAACTACTTCAGTACGTGGTAGAAATTACTTAACATATCTCTAGCTTTTTGTTGGACTTTACCCTGACATTATAACCCAAAGGTGGTAACTCAGGCTCTAATAAAATACTATACATTATTTTCCATCTCCCAAAGATTTAGTCTAAGCTTAAATCAAGATAGAGTAATGGGCTCTAGTACCATCAAGAATTCATACTATATTCATAATTGCAGGTTAGAGAAACCCGAGGAAGGCAGTTGGCCTTGAAAAGCTTGTGCTGTTGGACCAGTTCATTCCGTGCCAGCCAAGAAACTAAGTGCAGATTCTTAGGACAACGTCATTAGTTTTGTTGAAAAGAGGTTGCACTTTCTTTTCTCTTTAGTCAAATAGTAATTTAAACGACCAATTGAATAGTGTAATCCCTCTGTATTTAAAACATGATGACCATGCCTCTTAAAAAGTCATTTAGAAAAATTTAGAAAATGTGAAGACTTTAAAGGTGATGCAGCTAATGATAAAGCTATATTACCCACATACATGCGTACATATGCGCACACATTTATTCCAATAGTTTCATTTTTTTCAGCTGAGGTTACTAAAGTAGTATTGGCACTGCATTCTTCAGTATCACTAAAATAGTGAATTTGAGCTCTCCAAAGTGTTCTATTAAGCTATCATCCAGGCTTCTGTGCCCTTTTGCAAATTAGTCTTACATGTGTTATAATCCAAATTTGATCTTAATACACAGAGCAGGAAGTGGCTGGTTTTTCAGAAGTTTTTTTCCTTTTTCTGTGCTTTTAAGATGTTTTTACTTCTGTATAACAATCACAATATTTAGCATATACGGCTTATTTTCTAGCACTGCCAATCTTTATTCAAGTACAGGGAAAAAGAGGAGAGCTCATATCTTTTCCTTTTTCCCCTTATGGTTAACTTGTAGTTCTCTAAGCTCAGAACACAAATATTTAGACTAATTTGAAACTATTTGTGGAAAAGGTGGTAAAAGATAAAATTTTAGAAGTAATGACTGACACATATGGTGGATACCTTTCTCTGTCCACCATTTCTCATTCCTTTCTTTCTGTCGGTATGTTACAACAGTTTTTCCATCCCAACTAGCTGTAGACAGAAACTATTTTCACCAAACTTCAGTTCTGTTGTACCCCATTTAGAATTTTGAAGCATCTACCCTCTGTTACATTTGTTTAAAAGTGGGAAACAAATCGAAAAAAATAGGAGACAATTATACATGCTCGGAGTGTGTAATAATAATTATCCAAAGCACAGTGATACTTCTGCCCTTCCTTATTGCAGATTTTCAGGCTCCAGAAAACTCAAAAAATCTCTTAGGCTGACAAACCTCCTTAACAAGATTAACAAAAAGCTGTCTGGACTAGAGATACACATTACATAAGTCTATTTTTAAAGAAAAAATTACTAAATGTGAATAAACTGAGTAATTCCCCTTCTCACATAATATGTGTGCATAAAAATACCAGTAACATTCTGTTGTCTCTTTCACTTAATGATCAGTATGTATGCATTTTATTTTTCGTATATTTATGTAGATGCACTGTACATATTAGTACCATCTTTGAAATCAGCAGGTTATGGTGGTTTAAAGAGAATCTTAATACCGATTCTAGCTATGAAATACATTCTGCTATCACACTGGAGAAGTGAATCTCTTAGGAACAAAATTTGTAACTGTAAGCCAGCCTAAATATCTCTGTGAGATTTTATGTCTGTGAAAGCTTACAAGCTGAAATTTAGATAGGTTCTAGATAGGCTTTATATTGAGATTTTTTTATGGCAACTGTATTTTTGGTAAAGATAGAGATTAGGGAATAATCCACATTGAAAAGAAATGCCTGTAATCATATTTTCCCTTTATCTTCAGCTTCCTTTGCTGAGTGTCCTGGCTTAGGTTTTAGCTAAATTTTAATTTTTTCACAGCTGAAAATTGTTACTCCATGTGCAATTCATTGGAGACTGAAATTGCCTCAGTCATGGTTTATTTTCATGTTATTTTGAAAAAATTGATACCAGATAAAGTTTTAGGAGCAGTGATTGAAGGATATAAGAAAAACAAGAGCTGCATGCCTGAAGGAAATGAGACAATAGGTAATATCTCAATATTCTAGAGTGACCAGAGTAAACTCCAGGGAGAATTGGATCGTGGTATCATTTGTAAAAGCAATATTGTGTTTCTATTGAGGGATGGTAGAGCGTATAAAAGATGTAGTGGGCCAGTACCCAACTGTATCAAGATGCATGCAGCTTTTTATCAGAGGAGGATAAAGAAAAGGTTTCTTATTTGAAGAGTTAAAACTATTTCTTCTTTTATTATATCTTCTTTGGTTTATGCCTTTATCATTTTTTTCTTTTTTACTAAAATACAGAGTTTAAAAGGAAGCATAAAAATTTGTAGGTAGTACTGGAGCTTTGCCAATATATAATTTAGAGATGTCAGCCCTTTTGCATTTTTAACATTTTTAAGATGGAATGGCAAGAGAAAAGGAGAATAGAAGGGAGATGGTGCCTCTGAATACAAACGATATTCTCTGCCTGACCAGAATTAAATATCCTTGTTCCCGCTTTCCTCTACTTACACCACATGTCTAAGGTCCCATTTGCAAATCAGAATACTCCAAGTAGAGGCCAGTTAGGTACTGTTTCTGGAGAGGAAAATATCCCCAGAATAATCTTCTAGAGTGAAGAGAAACTCTATTGGCTTCTTAATTCATAGTGGAAATTGTAATACGAGTTACTTAGCATTGAGAGATCCTCTGAAGAAATTTTTTATATACTAACAGAAATTGGCAAAAAATACTGGCAGTCTAGAAACACAGCAGTAGAGCAGAAAGCAGGCAGTTGGTGGTACACTGAGAACAAAACCTGTTTCCATACAGCTAAATTTTAAACATGAGAAAGTTTAATGTGTGGAGGAGGGTTTAAGTGAAATACGGTCCACTAGGTATAACTCAGTATCTCTAAGTCAAGGTTGCCAAGTTAGATGTAGTTGTTTTTTACAGATGGAAGGAAGAATGAGGAAGAAAAATGACATAAAAAAGCAGTATTTAGTGATGTGTGCCCTAAGATTGGTCATTTTAACTGCACAGGAACAGTGCAACAAAGCTGCCTTAATATCCTAACACTGACTCTGAGGATTCAGCAGGTTTTAAAAGCTTGGGTTAAAGCTTGTGGCATTTGCAAGATAAATTGGGACTTAATACCTTATTTCTAATGCAGGCGTGGAATACAACATGAACATCTGCTTGACAACAGCCCGAAAAAGGATGAGGGCATGAGTATCATATTTGTAGACAGTACCATTCCATTAAATTTTACATTAGTGTAATACCAGTCTCGTGACTGAAGAAAGACAATTTGTCTGCTTTCAAGCGTTGCCAAGGTCTGAGCAAGTTCCTGAAGTAGGTTTCAAAGATGCTATAACTTCCCCAACTGTAACAGCTTTGATATGTCAATTAATATGCAAAACTGGCAGACCATTAAGAACATCCCATTCTGTTCGTGGGAATACATATCCATTTCATTTTCCTGCTCTTTCAGTACCATCCCTGCTTTTTCTCCACACCTCTGTAATTTGGGATGGCCCCTGTGACAAGAAATCCTGGAAGGAGGTATTTTCCAGTGGCTTCTATTTGTCCTAAAGCCTTACTAGGCAAAAATGCTCAGAAATGCCTGAATTCAGATGCAGCATCTCAATGCAAAAAATAAATAAATAAAATAAATGCTGGACATCCTGGCTGGAAATGATTAAAGTTGTTTTTTTTGGCTTGTCACTGGAGCTTCATTTCTTCCTTTCTTTTATTATGCACTACTCCCATGTCCCCCAGACATATTTCAGGTGGTTCTTTTCAGAAATTGAACATCAGGCTAAGCTAATAATTTCTTAATAAGACCTTAAAATACGTGTCTGTATATTCAGATTCAGAAATCTGAATTTGGAGCTAATTTTTTTTACACTTTCTTACATGTTGTAATAGAAAATTAAATTGCAAGAACAATCTGATGTTACAAGTGCTACCTCTGAAACATAAAGAGGTTAAAATCTTGAAAACAAAATCAGAAAACTCTGTAGAGAGTGTTCTGTAGCAGAATATCTGCTTGCTGCATTCAACTGACAATCTAATCCATTTTAAATCTGTTGTGATATCTGCATGACAGGGCCCACATACTGCAGTAATAAAAAGCAAGAGACTTTCTAAGATTCATTGTGTTAAAGATGAGAAAAACTTCATTCTTAAATGCAGTCCCGTACCTCTTTTCTTTGTAACTAGTGATAAAACTGAACAGAAGAGACAGAAGATTTCAAAAACATAGTGATGTATGCACTTTAATTACCAAATATAAGTCCACTTTCTCATTGTTGTGAGTTGATGTGACTCCATTTAATTAAGAAGCTTAATAATACCCGCTAAAGGATCTCGCACTAAAACTCCATCCTAAAAATATCTGGCCTTCTAGTGAAGGTAAAATTAAGTGTAATATTTTGTGAAAACAAAAGATTGATTTCTTTTCCCCTTCAGAATACATTTCAAACACAGGGAATGGCTTTGGATGGTGTTTTCTAGTGTTTTTGCCTGTACTTCCTTCAGAGAGGCCTGCAGCTTTTACCAACACAAATTTTTACATGAAGAATTTCTGTACCTGAAATGAAGTCCTTAGTACATGGAATCAAAAGTATTTACACACTGCATGCCATTTCTTCAGAGGAGATCAGTCATTGCTAATAATTGGGTTTCTGTTTGCAATATTAACCCCTAGATAGAGAATGAAAAGTCTGCCTCCATTCATGCCATGGTAGAAGTGGCCACTGGTCATTGTTGGGTCTGAAAGGGTTGAGTTTGAGTCTTAAGAAGAAAAAACATTCTTTTTTTTATTATTTCCTTTTATATATTGTAGTATATCTGATTCAAAGTTCTTCAGGACCAATAGTGCATTCTATGTTACTTCAGTTAACGTAGGACCTTACGTATTTGCGAGGGGTTTGTTACTGAAGTTATGAGAACATACTGTTCCCACTACCAGCACTGCATATAGGAAAGTGTGCAAACTGAGAAGTGAGGTATTCCAAATTTTTTTTTGAAAGAAGATTTTGAATAACATTTAAATAAAATATTTTTTGACCAATAATTCTATCTCTCTTTTTTTAAGATTCCAGATTCCATCATCTCTCGTGGTGTTCAGGTGCTCCCACGTGATACAGCTTCCCTCAGCACTACCCCTTCAGAATCTCCTCGTGCCCAGGCCACCTCTCGTCTCTCCACTGCATCCTGCCCAACACCAAAAGTAAGTACATTTATGCCTTGCAAACTTCATTCTCAGACATATAACTTATCAGATTAATGTATTGCCTCTGCTGAAGAAGGTTGGTTTGCATGCAAGGGATGAATCGTTTTAAGTAATAGATAAATCGGAGACAGTACTTTATTCCACATGTACAGTTTAGTACAATTTAGTGGGTCTACCAACATGTCATGGTTACTGGAGTTGAATGTTATCTCCTGCAATATCAGTCATGAATGTAAAATTGTTAACACCTTGAATGTCTTTAATATATCCCCAGGAACGTAGATAATCCTGCCACTGAGTAACAACATTAAACAAGTAGTATTTTGTTGACAAAATGTATGTGCAAATTTTTAGCCTGAGATGGGGCAGTTCTCTGCCCCACTCTACTACTGATCAGTTTAAAACAGTTTCAAAACAACCAGTGTTGCTCAAACTTAGATATTTGCTGCCTGACACTTGGAAACAAAAAACAGCCTAAATTGACTAGAAAGAAAGTTTTAATGCCAACCTTGTGGGATTATTATTCAGTTCTTACTGATTATACTATACCATTTAATCACTGAGGTGACCTCTATTACGTTCTCTTTTTATAAAACTTCTAAATAGTTTATGTCAAAGACTAAGGGAAATGACCAGTGGCAAGGCCTGTAATGTCCACCTTCAGCAGAATTCCTTTCAGCAGAAGAAAGCTCTGTCAGAATTCACTTTGTGTTCATGTCACAAAGATCTTTCTATGGCACCAGATGTAGATGTACTAATAAACTTGTAGCAGATGGCAAACAATAACATTCTTCCTCATCTAATATGTTATCCTTGAAGATTATTCTGCTTGCTAAAGTGATTGCCAGCATCTGCTAGTTCTTCCTGCTGTCTCATTCTTTTCTGTTAGTGAACAAGATTTACTGGCAACAACCCATAGAAATGTTTAAGTGTTTTGCTTTAATCTATGGGATAATTTTATGCTCACCTTCACTGTAACAGAATCAAAATTATTCTGATGGACAGCATACTGAACTTCATTATATAGTCTGCTCTCTTAAGAAGATGTTCAGTGAGTTCTACCTGCAGGTGGTTCATTCATTTTTACTAAAAAAAAATGCCAATTGTCTGATGGCTAAAATTAGAGTTTATTACGTTAGAAAACTGGAGCCAAAGAGGAGTACAAAACAGAGAAACTGCATTGAATTTTATGGCTCTTGACAAAACAGAAAAGTCCAAAGAAAACGAAAGGAGGCAAATAACAAGCATTAAAAACAGACAGTGTTATTGCTAAAAAATAGCTCTAGGTTAAGCCTATGTGTTTTAAGGAAGGTATCGTAATGGGAAGGAGTGAATCTTACCTATTGTGAAGCAGAATGCACTCCTCTAGACTATTTTCAAAGATTCAGAGATTACAGAAGGAAATTATATGAACTTTGATATAAAGTAATAAGTCTGGAAGTCTTATTCGGGAAATTAGTCGAGATGAGCTCTTGCCATAATTGGATCATGCTTTGGCATTTCATGTTAAGCCCTATTTTTCAAGTATTACTGCAAAATCAGATTTTGTTCAAAATATATGAGACCACACCACTTCTAAAATAGAAGTTGCCATGAAACATCAAAGTTGTCTAGCTTTTCTGTGATGTCTTCCAAAAGTAGGTAGTACAATCTGCTTTAGGGAAAAAATAAGGAAAACCCAACTGTTAACAGCAGGAAAGTAAATGTGAGGGATAATCTTCTCTGTTCCTATTACTTAAAGGTTGGATTTTGCACAAACATATAAGCACCTTTGCCACTTAGAGAACTCTTTGTTCGTTTACTTATTTTAAGGAAAGAAAACTCTAGTTACTCTTGTTATCCTTTTGTTCGGTCCTTTTCAGCACTCTCAGGTTCTCAAACATCATCTGAATTTGTCAAGAAATATGGTTCTTTTATATTCTTCAAGATTGTCAATATGTCTAAGTGTCTTCACTTACTATGTATTTCATTCTGGATCCTGGCTTTCTAATAATGCAATATGAATGCAATTTATACTGAACCTCTTGATCCACAGATTCACACAGTAATGAGACAAAAAATGAATTGCAGTGCAGCATCCAGTTGATATTCCAGGTTGTTGTATTTTTTTTCTTTGATCTGAAAGAAAGTATTTTTTCAATATTCTCACCATCTGGTGTAGGAACTTGTTTCAGGCTCCTAAACATGTATATATGAACTCAAAAGAAAAAAGGAGAGGAAGTTTCAGCAAAAAACAATTCAGTTTATATGTATTTTGAGTGGTGGTCTGGCCATAAATCTAACGGCACTGAATTTTTTTGTGAACTACATATTCCAGTTTATTTTGTTGTACCGTTTTCTTGTTGTATTTTTGTCCTAAATGTACATAAACCCTTACATCTCTCTTACTGAATTTGCTGAATAGCAGAAAGTTGTGTGTCCCTCTCAGAAAAAAATATCAAGCTTCTGCAATGATGGGAGCACCTATATTGAATAAATGTAAGTAGCAGGTTACTAATGCATGTCTGTATTGGAGAGAAGGTATGGGAGAACTCGTTACTAATACTCTTGATTGATCTGTTACGAAAAGTCTTCACCTTTTCATAATGATAATGTTGTTTATATATACACACAGCATTTAGACATGCACAAAATACAATATTTAATTGTAGGTTTCTTTGCTGTTGATACTTCGTCTTCCATGTTTTCTGAAAATCTGTTTATAACAAAGTAGTAAATGATGAATAGTGAGTTTGAACCTGTGTATTTAAATCAGTCTTCAAAAGTTTAATCCCTGATTAAAGGAGGAATCACTGTAACCTCTTGGGAGGTCAGACAAATGACAAATATATCTTTTCAAGACAAATTTCAATTGGGACAACTCTGTCTATTGTTAGATACATCCCCAAAACTAAGCAGACTTGCTTTTGTTAGCTTCTGATAAATCTCTGTAGAACATCTTCTTTGTTCTGTAAATTGCATTTGAGTTTTAAGCAAAATCCACTGTGGCTCAAAGAGCATTTAAAACATATTTATAGTGTAAGGATTCAGATAGAGAGGCAATCTTAGTTTTACTCTGGGGAAAACTGCACTAACAGTTCTCCCTCTTTCATTTATTCAACCATAAAGTTGATGGTGATTGTGACATTTTTATCTTTAACACTATGGTTTTGGTCTTTTTAAAGTTGTAACGATTTTTCAGCAAAGTTAAATGAATTTGCTAAATATTCGCGTGACAGACGTTTAAGATGACACAGTATGGCTTGCAAGATTTTCATGCAATTTCCAATAACTGCTTAGATGATAAGATCTTCCTGTATTTTTGAATATTTCTGTGGGTGCCATTTTCATGAAGTTAAATGCAGTCTTTTCAGATACAAAAACAAAGTACTACGCAGTGTAAAATACCTACTACAACTATCAGGAAATTTTGCCTAACTTGTGGCACAAAATTTTAGATCTACAAGTTCAGATAACTTAAAAGAATATATCCTGATCAAATGACCAAGTCATTGCTTCAAACTTCTAATTTTGTTTGACTCTTAGGGATGATATTAGTATAAAAGAAAATTGCAGCTTTCAAGTTCAAGTCTTTCCTTCTCCCCTATGTAAATGACACAATCAATTTTTTGCCATTGCTGTGTGTCAAAGTCAAATAAAGCAGATACAGAAGACCAAGGACAGGATTTAAATTATCACCAGGAGTACATTTCAGTGACAAAAGGTGTTCAAAGTATTTTACTTTGCAAGATCATCAGTCTAACTGATGTTCAGTTCTTCTGCTTCAGTGTGCAAAGTTTCTTTCAGCATTACCTTTGATCGTGAAGAATCCTAAGAAACGTATTATGGTACTTTTAAGATGAGAGTGATTGGTTTCTAATACTACTTTTTTTTTTTTTTTTTTTTGTGCTATCTTGCTACTTCATTCCTGACACATTATATTCTGCTTAAGAAAAATTATCATTTTTCTTTAGTTTAGTTGCTGGTTATCTGTCGTAGCTATTAATTATTACTTATACTGAAGGAAAACTTAATACACTTAGTGGTATTAACATACCAATTACTAATATTTGTAGTAATGAGAGAGAGCTTTTAATTCCTACATGAGTCTCTAAGCTCTGTCTGAGAACTAAAAAAAAGGAAGCAAGACTGCTTTTCAAAGTTTTCTAGATGCTAGCAGAAGTCATCTATCCACCACTCCAAACATACCTTTGTAGCATAATACATTTAATTCTGCTAATTGATCATTCTTGTAGCTTTCTTCTAATAAGAATGGTTATCTTCATCATTCTTATGTTTACATTCACTTATAGACCTACTAATGTAAAAAGTATTCTATATTTGTAATTTTTGTCTATATAAATGTTTTAGTTGAAAAAAAATCCTGAAATGAAAAAAAAATATCAGGAAAAAAATCATCAAAAAAAAGGCAGGTGAGCATTATTCCTGTGAGGAAAAAAAAAATAAAAATCTCTATCATCTCTCATACTTTCTTCCACAGAAAAATGATGCTTTGAACACCTTCCATCATGAACCATAGCTTTAATATTGAACCTAGATATTGATTCAAATTTTCCCTACAGTCAAATGATCTAAAAACTAGAAGTAAATATAATTATGGTTTGTGTTCAGTCTAGTGTCATGAATTTTAATATACAACTATTATGTGAAGTAATCGGATAGAGAACAGATAGAGCTGAGAAGATGCTTTTTTATCAATTACTGCTTTTTCAATAGAAGAAAGGTCAGGTTGCTTACCACAAATCCTTAGTTGATGAGACAGTGTTCTGGTCATGATCTGGCAAGATGTCGTTTTATCCATAGGGTAGATATTTTGTGTAAATTGGATGAGATAAATTTGATATTTGTTATTGTAGTGCATACAGTTTCTTCTTAAAACGATCACCAGATTGAAAACAATATGGAAAGTTTGTGAACATATTTTAACATTTGTTCACATACACTAAATTCCCAAGAAAAATTTTATTATTTCGTTTTTAGTTATGAATTTGAAGTTC